GAAAAACTCCATTCGCTTTAGCCTTTGGCTCAGAAGCCGTGGTGCTAGTCGAGATCGGCCTACCAACGACTCGGACTGAAGCCCTTGACGTGCCAACAAATGATAAGGAGCTCTGCTTGAACCTCAACCTCTTGGTGGAGAGGAGGGAGACCTAACAGCTCGAGCTTGCCCAGTATCAGAGGCAAATAAAGCGACATTACGATGCAAGAGTAAAATCGTGTCGCTTCAGACCTAGCGACCTCGTTTTATACATAGTTCTCCAAAAGGGTGGAGCCCTAGAATCCACTTTGGAAGGCCCATTTAAGGTGAAGTGTGAAAAGTGACTTGGAGCCTATACCTTGACCGACCTAGAAGGGAAATAGCTCTCCCACCCATGGAACGCACAACACTTGTGCATTTATTATAACAAAGTGTAACGAGCTCTTTAAAGACATTATGTACTCACTAAAGTATTTAAATGTAATTCCTCTTTGCTGAACCGAGCTACATTTAAATGGTGACCTAAGATGTGCAAGTATGAAAGTAGGGCCTAAGATGTGCAAGCAGCAGGATCATTTGTCATATAGGTCAGACTGGGCAACCTTAACTAAGGGATCATTCTCCACAAGGGCCACGGAGGCAAGCTCATCCAACTCTTTCACCCAGCCTGAATGACCTCCTCATAAGCCATGGTGCCATCAGTAGAGATTGTCCGGGATTTGATGTACGCGAGCTTTAAAGAAGTGAGGTCTAGCTCCTTGTGGTTCCTCTCCAAGAAGGCAAGGGCGAACTTGAACTCGTCATCCGTCAGGTTCTTGCAGAAGTCCACATTGCCTGGCAGTTCATGGAAGCACGCATCTAGAAGGCCTTATTCTTCAGGTTGGCGGCAATGGCAGCCTCAGCTTGCCACAATGTTTCCACCTCAGCTTGAAGACCCTCATCCTCTTACTTCAGGGTTCGGACCACGGAGGTCGCGCTTTCCAGTTGAGCACAGAGAGATCTTGCTTTCTCCTTCAACTCTTCTCCACTAGTCTCCAAGGTGACCACCTTCTTGGTGACCTCAACGATCTTAGCCCTAGCGTCCTCAAGTTCGACCTTGGTGAGGTTGGCCGCCTCCACAGTCTTGGCGTGGGCAGTTGTCTCCTTCTCGACCCATTGTTCACACCCAATAAGCTCGGCAGCCATGAAGGCCATTGATTTGCACATGAAAGCGTGTGCCTAGAAAAATGTACATGTAAGAAAGATTGATCACGCGGCAAAAAGTCAAAGTATAAAACGACGAGCATTTGGGAAATACACCAGTAGCGTGGTAGATGGCCAGCTGGATTGTCTCCCCAACTTTCTCAAGAGGCGAGCTGGTGCGGCCCAGGGTTCGGTCTGAGCTCACACGCCCAATCTGCGCAAACGGAGGTCGAGAAAATGGAGGTCGCAGCTCCTTACTTCTCTAATTCTGCCATGAGTAGAGAAGGTTCTAAAACGGAGGTCGCAGCTCCTCACTTCTCTAATTCTCTTCACAATGGCCCAACCCGCCGAAGTCAACTGTCACTGAGGGGCCAACCTTCTCAGCCCCCTCAACCCACCGTGAGCTCGAGGTCAACCCCTTCTGAGTTTTTTTCTTCTTATTCTTCTTCTCCGAGCGAGGGATTGTGTGGACCGCCTGGAGTAAGGCCACCTCAATTGGGTCCGAGTGCGGAGTGGCATGCACAGACCCCATATGGACCTCTTCGTCGGGGACCTTAATGGACGTGGAGCTGTTGTCAAGCTCGGCAGCTTTCCTCTTCCTACCGAGGAGGAATGCAGGAAGCATATCTACAAAGAAACCCCTGATTAGCATGGACAAGATAGAGGTAGAGAAAACAAGGAGTAAAGACGACGTACCTTCAGAGTTGATGGGAGAAAGGAGAAGCAACAGCGACCTGGATTGGCTTGGTGTACGGAGCTTAAGCACTACCTCTTCAGGCATGACCTCTTCCAGAGCAGCTCCCTCAAGGATCTGCATCTCGAAGTTGTACAAGTTGTCGTCCACAAGCAGAGCTAGGTAATGTCGAGCTACGCGACGAATCTAAGGAATTCTCACCAAGTACTCGCGTGTAAGTTCGTCAGGTCGAGGAACCGACTTGGGAAGAATGGCGAAACAGGCAATGAAAGTTAGAAAATGGGGAAGACCTGGAGACTTTGGGCGACTAAGGAAGAGGGGCGTTACCTAAGTTGCTCTCTAATATTAGCCAAAATTGTAGAAAATGGGGAAGACCTAAAGACTTTGGGCGACTAACGGCTTGGGAATTGGCGAGGAACCCGCCAGCCCAGCTCGCCTTCACGACCCCTAGCCAACCAGTTGCCATATACGTAGAACCAGTCCTCCTTCCAGTGTTTGATGGAAGAAGCAACCCGACTTTCTTCGGACGTTTTTTACGTTGTAGAAAGAAATGAACTGGCTTAGGGAGAGGTAATCAGTGCGTAAGGTATCTACCCCGAGCCCCCACCAAAGCATTCAGCAGCCCAGTAGGATACTCCAGCCATTGGGCGCAAGCTGTGCAGGGGCGATGTTGACCATGGCAAGAAACTCTTGAGCAAAGGGGTGAAGGGGAAGCCTGACCCCGAACTCGAACATCTTCTCCTAAAAGGCGACGTTCACTTCAGGAGGATTATTTACCGTCTCACCTCTCTTAGGAAATCTCATCCCAATAGCGCAGGGATGTACAGGTTTTTAAAGTAGGCTAGGCAGCCGTCGCCCAGGTCGGACCTGCTTCTTTCAGGTTTTTTCTGAGACCCTGGGGGAGGGACGTAAGGTTTGATAGCTAGGCATGGAGGCACTGTTGGGTGTGTTGCCCTAAACTCGTAGTTTGTATTTATGTAAAAACAAATGTATATTCAATAAAGTTTTATTCAATCAATTTGTTGTTGAATTCATAGCATTTCATTGTCCAAAATTCAATAAACTAAACATCTAAGGTTATTATCATGTAATCGAGACAGTATATATATTGGGTATATATTTGATATACTCATGATATACTAGGTATATAATTGATATACCCTTGATCTACAAGTGGATAATGTCCCGAGAATAACCTGAAGGGTCTATAGTATATGGATAAGGCTGGGTACCCTATCCTAGCAACACTATGGATATGACCCACTTTGTAAATGTTACAGACGACTCGATTAGGTTGTTCATGTGGAGACATGCGAGTGGGGGTAGCCTATACAATGAGTTTGTATAAGACCGGACAGCGAAATATCCAAACTTAAGATGTAACACCGTTAACTAACAGATTGCTATTTCTTAGGATGACCAGGCAACCCATTCTTAATCTTGAGTGAGTTATGTACTCCTGCCTGTAAAGGTTCGTCCTTTGATCTGTATGGGTGAGAGTGGCCCGAGACGCCAACTCAACATTCTTACCATTTGGGGACGAGACCGAGTGGGAAAATGGGAACATAACTTCACAAGATGGAATTCACTCCTCCCCGACCTTAGGAGAATAGATGAGTTCTCTTAAATGCTGAGTCCGAGACTTGAACAAAGGGCACCACCCTCTCATTGGCCCGAGAGAGACTTCCGGTTATTGGTCGGACCATAACCAGGTTGTTCATTAGAGGATCAGTGGTATTTAAGGAATAAAATGTAACTCAGCGGTAAAACGATAATTCGACCCAGCTTGAGTTACGAGGACTCGTGAATAATTGACTTGCCATTAATGGTCGTATATCCGTGGG